TGCCCAAATATTTACAATTTCTGGTCATCAACGCGGCCGTCTCCGATTTCATCACGTACCTTTAATCCATGCCCTTGTTTTTTTTTTCGGGTGTTCGAGCCCGATGGTGTTTACCGGTAATGGTAACAGATCGTTTTTTCTTCCGCTGATAAGCTTTTTAGAAAATGGTTACTAAAAATTATAACTCCTCCCTGTAATTCTTTTGTGACATCATTGTTTTCACTTTTTTAGGTGATGATATCATCATCATCATCTTATTTTCCAAAAAAAAAAGTTAAAAATTATTCTGTAATACAAAAAATATTAAATAATAATAATAATAAATAATAATGAATATTATTATTAGATATTTAATTATTATTATTATTATTATTATTATTATTTGGTTTTGGTTAATTACGCACCCCATTTTTTAAAGTGATGGTAGCACCCTTATATTCTAATTATACCACCCTGATATGGAATATATAAGTTAATTAATTCATTGACTTTTTAATATTATTGATATTACGTAAAATTATTATTTTTAAAAATGTGACAACTAAAAAAAAAATTATTCCTTCACCCAAACTAAGAAATCTCTGGTGTAACGTCAATATTTGAAAGTATACATATATATTTAATATAAATATATAAATATAAACACTTCTCTCCCTCTCTTGACTTTATCACAAGAGAAAACAAAAATAATAATAAATAATAAATATTTATATAATAAATTAAACTGTACTGCGTAGTAATATTTGATGACATATTTGTAAATATACAGATTATAAACATATTCTAGACTAACCAAACCATTAGTTCAAAAAGTTGTTATTAGTAATTAACTAAATATACATCATCTCAATCAGACATCATAAATCATAAATCTGTTTATAAAAAAAACACAATTCAAAAAAATCTTAATTGTATAATATATATATACACAGATAATCATTTTTATTTTATTTTTATTATTTTATTGGTATATAAACATCATCGTTCCCGCCCCTTCTTATTTTCTCTTTCTCTTTTTTTTTTAACAAGAAACGGTTTGTGTTTATTGTTCCTATCAATTTTTTATTTTTAAATATATCTATAAATTTATTATTATATATATATATTATATATATATATATGTATATATAATATTAAATAAGAAAGAATAAATTATCTTCTATATATATTATATATTAGTTATTAATAATATATAATTTGGAAAAAATTAAAAAAAAAATACTTTAAAAAATAATCTTTCACTTCTTAAAAAACTAGTTTTTTTATTAGAAATATAAAATAAAAATTTACGTTATATCTTACTCTTTAAATTCTCATCTTTTATTAAAAAATAGTATTTATATTCTTTTTCGCCTTCAATTTATTACTATATATATATATAATAATACATATATATATACACAGTTTTTAAATTAAATCGTTTTTTTTTCAATTTTTCTATTATTAATAATTATTTCTTTTTATTTTTTTATTTTTAAGATTTTTTCTTTTTTTCAACAACTAAAACTTTTCTTCTTTAAAAAAAAAAAAAAGGCAAAAACGAAGTTTTTGCGCAAAGAAACGAACTACTCTACAAAACAACTTTCAAATATATTTAACGGTTTTATTTTATTATTATTAAAACAACAAATTCAATTATGACTACTCTTGCTGGAAGCAATCATCATAATAATTATATTACCAATCTACCTTTTGTTCAATCTCCAACTTATGGTAATAACTCCAATTTGGTAGATAATACATTTTGTGGCAATGATCAAATCAATATGAATAATAATGGTAATAATAGTTATTTGGATGCTAATAGTTCTCAAACGATTATTAAATCTGAATTTTATTCTAAACAAGAAGGAGAAGAAGAGTTCATATTAAACAGTTATCAACAGTCACAATTTATATTGCCAATATCATCTGGATCTACATCTCCTTTATCTCCTTTATATTCGCAAGCGAGTCATCATCATCACCCTCACCATCCTATTCAGCAACAATCATATGAAGGTGTTCCAATCAAAACCGAATTTTGTGACGATGATAGAAATAACCATAATAATGGCAATAGTAGCGGTAACAATGGTTATGGTTATGGTTTGGTTGATATCGATCACAACTCTTCAATCGAATCATCTCCTCACTTGTTAACAACAAATGAGTTTGATAAAGGTCCACCATTTGCTCCTTATAATAATTATCATCCTTGTGATGACAATTCATCAAGTGAACCTATTTCATCAGCCACCTCACCAACTCTTTCATTCGCCTACAATTATCCTCCACCACCACCACCACCACCACAACAACAACAGCAGCAACATCATCATCATCATCATCATCAACATCACCAACATCATCATCATCAACAACAACCTGCTCTTTGTGACGCTGTTAATGTCTCTGATTCTTCTGGATCTGTGTCATCTGTCGCTTCACCAATCAATACAAATATAACGGAATTTAACAATTATAATATCAGTGAATATTATGGTCTTTTAACAAATTCCAATAACAATAATCACAATCACAACAGCAATTGTAATAATTCACCTCTCAGCTCACCAACATCTTCGTCACCCTCCATAATAACATCAACCAATAATGCTGTGTCATTATCATCTTCAAGAGCTTCCACCAATCCTACTACTCCTACTAATCATGCGTCACCAAATCTCAATGTTACCGCTGCTGCTGCTGCTTCTTATAATGACCAAATGAGGATTATCATGTATAAACCTGCTCCTCAAAATGATAGCATAGCACTTGTTCATCAAAATATTCAACACAATTACAACATGTCACCATCAT